TGTGGCCTTACGGTAATGCTTTCTTATGAGTGCCTTGTTCTTTTTATATAACTATTTATAGGTACAATTTCCATGTAATTATACCTAGAAGTCACTTAGCTTCAGGATATTATTTGTCCGTTTCCCCTGCAGTATTGCCAAAGATCCTAGGTTTGAAAGGCTACCATGCACACATAAAGGGACTTATGCTGATGACTGCATCATCGACAGGGTTACACAGGTATTGTACTATATATTGCAATTTGATATCAGAACTTGTTTTCTTCCTTTTCGATAGTCTTCATTTTCTATAGTGCTCATTCAATTACTATGCTGAGGCTCAATCTTCCAGTTTCCTTTCGGAGATTTCCCTTTATTTATGGACTTGTTGTGGTTCTTTTCCTTGGAGAACAAGTAAAATTTTATTTATTTTGAAGTGAGGCAGAGAACAAAAATCGTTAAAATGTTGATGGACACTTGATATTTTCAGTAATACTGAAATTTAACACATTGAAGATCAAAATTCAATTCCTAGAAAGTTATGGAGATAACCTTTCATATTGAAGTTTTAAAATGACGATGAGGAGAGAGAGAATTCCTAAGTTGAGAGATTTTTTTTATATGTATTTATATATAATATTTTAGATTAAGTAAAAGCTTTAGGTAATACAAGTAGTAATTAATTATAAACTTAAGTTATGAAGGCAATTCTTAGAAATTAAGGATTTTAGATTAAGTAGGACAAATTAAATTTATGAGATGCAATTTTAGTAATACAAGTAGATTGGAGAATATAGTTAAGTTGGATGGACAAGAAGTTCCCTTAAATAAATTCTCTACGTATCTTGAATCAATTATTTAACAAAATAGAGAGATTGATGAAGATAATATTTAGAGTAAAGATAGGATGTTTAAAATAGTTGTGAGACCAATAATTTTTTATGGATCTAAGAGTCTTATATGATCATTGAATACCTTTGAGATTAAAAGAAAAAATTTATAAGATAGTTGTGAGACCAATAATTTTTTATGGATCTAAGTGTTGGGCAATTAAGAAACAACATATACAAAAAGTTTGTGTTGCTAAAATAAAAATACTGAAATAGATGTGAAATTCCTAGGAAATATAGAAAACAAAAATTTTTTATTCGTGAATAACTAGATATCGTTACGATAGAAGATAATATGAAAAAAAAAAATCGCTTAAGATAGTATGAGCATATGTTCAGGAGACTTACGGATGCAGAAGTTAGAAGAGGTGAAATGATTAATGTTAATGGTACAAAAAGAGGTAGAAGAAGGCCTAAAAGGAGCTTAATAGAAACCATAAATAAATATTTAAATATTTTAAACTTAACTAGGCATATGACTTTTTACAGGTCTCAATGACGGTAAAAGATCCATGTAGCCGACCCCAGATAGTTGAGACTTACAGCTTTGTTGTTGATGTTATTGTTGTTGTTGTTATTATTGTATTTATATAATAATATTTTCTTGATGAAACTTAAAGCATTCATAAATCAAGATTCAGAAACCTAGTTATTTTGGCCAAAGAAAACTGCTGACAAGATATTCATCACATCAACATGAAAAACCTTAACCATACCATTCAACGTGGGGCTGAAATTGAGGTTGGGTCAACAAACACAACCACCAGACTTATTGCCTGAACCCAGCATCTTGGATGGGTTTGGTGGGTTTAGGTTAGGAATTGCTGCCCTGAGAATCAGGTAGAATCATGAGGTCTGTTTTTCCTTTATTGTCCGATACTTTGTCCTCGACCATATTTTGCTTACCACTACTTTTTATAATATTAATGCAAGAGACTGATCATGGTATTGTTACTTTTTTTTCTGTGACAACTTCACCATTGAATTCTCTTCTTCTTTTGTCCCATAGCAGCTGTGAGCTTTTTTTCCCGTACTCTTCATAAGTTTGTTTGATTTTCTCAAGAGCTTTAGCTGCTTGTTGATAATCTGAATAATGTTTTGTCTGGAGTCTTTGGACCATATATATTCACCTTTTCTCTTGTTTCTTTTATTGAAAGTTCCCATTCTTTTTTGGAACAGCACAAATGTTATATTGTTGCAACATGCGATAGAGACTTGAAGCGAAGGATACGCAAGGTATGGGCTTTAGAGCAGTTGTTTCAGTTCTGCATCTCACATGACTCTACAAAGAGGCTAATATGCATGTTTCTGTAGATCCCTGGTGTACCTATAATGTATATCACACAACACAAGTATTCAATTGAGCGGCTACCAGAAGCAACAATTGGTGGAGGTGGGAGTCATTTTATACTTTCAGCTAATTTTGACATGCTTAGTTATAATAGTAAAGCAGTTGTAAGATCGGTTCTCTATTTTCAGTGATCTGCAGGTTTTTTTCTTTTTCTAAGAGTCTTCTAATTGTTATCAACCACCTCTTAGATTCATTTTTTATTACCTATGCAGCTCCAAGAATTTGATGAAGAGTATGTCTCCACAAAAAGAATTGCTTCTCGCCTCAAATACAGTATGCAGCTTATTGTAGGAATAAACAATACCAAGTTGGCAGCTAAGTGGTTAGTCTGGGGTGGGGGGTGTAAGTGATAATTACAATCTCCAAGTTTTGTAATCAAGAAACTTTTGAGCTGTTGATGTTTAAACCTTAGCTTTCCATATCAAATTTGGAACAGAAGTTTGCAGTTCCCCTTTTCTTTTGTTGTACATTTGATCTGGATATGTTTTTAATTTAAAGCTATGTGAGCAAACTGATGACTACATTAATACTTGTTTCATTAATGTCTCTATCTTTCAATTCCTTAAAGTCACATTCTACTTTCTTAATGTTTACAATTGCATCTTCAGTATGAGTCTCTAAATGAACTAATCTGATGGTTTGAGTTTGGGCAACCTAATTTAATCACTGAATTCTTAGGTGGCTCCTCACCACCTTAGGCTTCCTGGGTTACTGGCTTCATGTTCCCATCTCCATTTCCATGTTTGCTAGAGTTGTCCATTTAAATCATTTGCATTCAGAAAGAACCCTTCATTTAGTCTCTCTATTTGATGTTCAAAGAGTGGAGCTGATGGATATTTTGTATGGCCACCAAAGGTATGTGACTCAAAACTTGTTGTTTGACGGGTAAATTAAGCCAAGAAACATTCTATGTTTACCTTTATCAGAAGTTTGTCAATTTCTGATGCCTAACATCGGGTAAAAATGCTCTTGAAATTATATTGATACTCATCCTCTTCCTCAGTCCAGAGGACTAAAGGCTTTACGTATCTCCAATCCTCCATTATGAGGCCAGAAGAGCACACATCGAGTTGCTGATGGTACGAGTTTGCTGTATCTTGTAGATGAAGCCTATCGTGCAATTCGTTCAGTTTCATCAGGTAACTACATAAATTTGATTATTCATGGCTCTTGGTTGATATGCGTTTCATATGAAAATTGGGAGTCAGTTATGAGGCTCAAAACTTGGAATTGAGCTACTTGGACCAGAAACATACCTTGGAAGCTATGGTATGAAGTGTGACAAAATATGGCAGGATTGGTCCATTCTTGCAGCAGATCTGGTTATTTTTCCCTTGCTTGCTGCCCAACTTCCGGCACTCTCAAGATTGTGATGAGGAATAAATGATGGCTTACTCCTTTGGCTTCCTTTTATATACATACATTTGGAGACTGGCTAAGACCCTAGGTTTTGTACCAGTCTTTGGCTTGCACAATGTTGTATCTAGACAATTCAGACATCCACTTGGTTTTTGTTCTCATGTCCCTACATAGCTTTGGTGATTTTGTTGTTCCAGCAATTGTCTAGCAAAACTAAAGCAGCAGAGAATTATTATATGCTAGTGGCTTTGGAGTTTGCATATTAAATGATTCTGTCTCATATTTAGGAACATGGAGCACATTGGTCTTCTTTATAAACTGGTAAGCTTTCCAAAGCATATAACCACTAGTTCTTTATGTAATTCAAAAGTTGCAATATCACAATAATTGTATTGATAAGAACCTTCTTAATGTTCTTCCTAATTTTTTAATCAGGTTATGGTCATGGAAATTTCGTCGTCGATCAGGTGAGTTAATACATTCATTGGCTATTGGTCATAGTGCAATGTACCCACTTGTCTGTCACATTATTCCTGCTGCAGACCCAAATATTAGCTTCAATTAATCTAATGCTTTTGGCTGATTCAATTTCATGGTATTTGCAGAGAAATTTGTACAGGATTTTGACGTCACTACTTCCATGTGCATTCCTATTTTAAATTAAGAGACAAGATTTTTCAATAACAAAGGAAAAAGAGACTAGGAATTTTAGTATAGGAATTTAAAAAGATAGATGCAAAGAATATGATTCATTTTATCGATCCATCGACTAATTATTGATGTGGTATGTATTAAGTTTTGAATGGAGTGTTCGATATAATACTCGTGTATATCTGTATCTTTTAATTTTTGTTCATTCTTGACGTAACATATTGAGGGCTTGTAGTAGATTTGATAACCTTATTTTAGTTGACTTTGGTGATCGTTTCAAACTTGTAGACGTAGGTTATGTATAGTTATCACTTAAATACAAAATTGCTCAAAAATAAATCATCCAGGTAATCGTTTTATGAGTTTTTTAGCTTCGCAGAATGGTACGGAGTGTCAACTAGTACCTAAGAGCTATTCGAATGATATATGATTGGAAAGGCCTTTAGGATATTATCTATGGTTGATTCGTTATTTTGTTATGCAACAGTGTCATGTGGACACATGTGAGAATTTTAGAATGCAACGGATCATTCTTAAATCTTTTGTCATACGTCTTGAAACTTGTAAAGTCGTAAATTATATTATCTATCATGAGTTTGTTGAAATAATTATTTTATAAATTTGAGTTAAATATTTTCTCTAATTTGTGGATAAATTTTATCAAAAAGGTATCGCGCACGATTCAGATAAAACTAAGTCTATGACTGTGTGATATGTCAAGATCATTGCATGTTAACAGAAGATCTAAGCCAAAGAGCGAGAATTTGATCTAACGCAGCCAACAAAGCTTTCTACTCATTATATATATGTACATCCGGATTACAAAAATTGGACAAGGTGGAGAGCATTGACAGTTCCTTCCAAAACATGTTGCCAATGGTGGAAGTTTTGGCGAGATCAGTTGAGGCTGAGGATGTTGAGAAAAGAGACTCTGCATTGGATGAGTCTCCTAAGCAAGCTCTGTAGCTCCGTCTCAACAGCTTCAATGGTCTCCTCTGCTGTCATCAACTGTTCTTGCGCTTGCAGAATCCTCTCATCATCGACAGGTTTGTTTAGGATGCACCGGAGAGAAGAATCGAATGACAGCTCGTGTGTATTCTCACATGCCACCTTTCTCTTCTGCATAGCTTTCGAAATGATCGACCATCTCCTTCCCTTCTGCTTTTGCCATGGCGTGGACAGGAGATGCAGGACAGAGCGAAGCACGGAGAGGGTGATGTCTCTCGATTCGATCAGTACTCTTATAACCATCGATAGATCAGAATCCCTATCCAATGTCCCGAACGATCCACATCTCTCATCCATCTGCTTCGACGCTTTGCAGCACCTGTTGAGACTCTTTTGCAGCTCCTTCCCTGTGAGAGCGTGTCTGCGCTCTTTACCCTGTGTGATCTTGTTGCCTCGTCTTCGGAGGGTCAAGCTAAGGTCCTGAACATGGTCTTTCATGGCAACCAGCACATCCTTCATGTTGTCAACCAGATCAAGCAACACGACAGATATCTCCAGTTCCTCTTCCAGCCTTTTCTTCTGGGCGGAGCTGAAGACAGCCCGCTCAAGACTTGGCAGGCGCAGAAGATCTCCCACGGAACTGTAGAGGTCGCCAACACCTCTCAATCCACTGCACACCTTCTCTGCTGACGACCACATCGAAGTCGCAGCCGTCTTCAACTTGTGCAGCTCTTCCTCCACTCTGAGCGCAATTGGGTGAGTTCTCGAGGTCAGGCTGATGGATCGAGCATGGAAGGGTTGGTCCGACGTTGCAGCAGAACCGGCCATCTCTGGTCTGTTTCACCTGTGATTTCTAGGGCTAGACTATCTCTCTCAGAGGAGGAAGATCGAGTGTGGCTTGCTCTATTGGCATCCACTACTTATACAACACACGGAGAATTGAAGGGAGACACACAGAATCCATTCCACCTATGCCGCCATGTGACTTAAAGGTGGATGTTCTGATGGATTCCTCAATCATGCAAGTTAAGTGGCCACGAAAGTGACGCCTCCACTGTAGATCTAACACCAGCTTCAATGAATCTAATGATTTGGTGGCTGCAAATTCATGATGCATAAAGAAAGATGGCACAGAACTTTCACATGTCAAATTTCGTGTCCACTTGTTTACCACGTTGTTGGCATTTGGCTTGCACTATTCTGATGAATCGGCTGTCACAACTAGTGAAAGGATCGAAGAGGTTTCCACAGCCACTCATTAAATATATCTGCTTGTCGCTTTGCATCGGTTCATTGAAAGGACAAGGAGAATCATGCATGATAGCAGGTGTTGCTGTCGCCGGAGAGAACATGATTCATTGCTCCGGTGGCAGAATGAGACCGGTTGTGACTAATTAACTGCTTTTTTTTGTTTTGTTTTGCTGATGATGCATTGATGCTGCTGGTGCATGAGGATCATATTCTGTCTTTGTCTCCCCAACAATGAATCATTCATGCTAATATTGTTATATGAGGCAACATTCATGAGTTTCGAATCTATATTGTGCCTGCAGTGTCCTCTCCTTGTTGAGTGAGAAGTGTGCTCAACTTCATTCTCATCATCCAGCCTATGTTTTTCCATTGTGAAGACCTGAAATGTCACATCCTTCTATTAATTAGAACTTTCTGATTCATTTACTAGAGAGGTAGATTTTCTATTTGTTTATATTCTTCCTTAAAAGCTAACTTGACATTAATTTTGTAGATTGGACGAAGAGATTCTATGTACAATTGCAGGTGACAGTACTAAACCTATTTCATCTGTAACATACAAGCAGGCAAGTCAACAGATATCCTCAGTCTTCAGATCTTAGATTTACCTAATAGACTCCCTTCCCGACTCCACAAGTCAGCATGCGAGTATGCCTTCTACTGATCTGAAGAAATATCCTAAAGAGACAACATTGTTGTATTCTTAGATCGCGATGAATGATCAATATCACATCTAATATCACCTAAAGTATTAAGGCATATATAACTTACAAAACCAAGGTTCAATATCAACATGAAACCTGTATGATTACCAGATTTTGGGTGATCTATATTAACAGATATCACTGGAACATGACAACAAAATAGACACTGGTACGATTTATATCATCGGATATCGATCCTTGGTCCAAATTGGAATGTAACAACCAAAGAAACATAAAGGTAAAAAAAATCAACCAGGAAATGATTGGGCCAAAGAATACACCAGGCAATGGGAAACCAAATGCACTGATTGAACCAAAGCACTTTCCCTATAATACATCTTCCCATGGCACCACAATCACAGATTTCACATGATGGCTAAACTCAAATCAGCAACCAAGTGATGGGGACAAGATACAAGTACAACATGCAGAGGTGCATTATGGACCTCTACCACTTTTCTGCCTCTTCTCTTCTAGAGCCGTGGCCTCCTGCAACATGTCGAGGGAGTCCCCCTGCATGTTCAGCTTGGCCAGGGCAACTGCTTGCATATAGAAAGCGGTGGGCCAATCGGGGTAGAGACATTGTGCCTGCATCGCATCCCGTAGAGCAGCATCGGCTTGATCACACATGAGATGGCACAGACTTCGCCTTGCATAGACTGTAGGTGAGAACATTGTTCCCACATCTATGAACTGCAAGCAAAAAATAGGCAGTGATAACATCAACATGAGGAATTCATTCTCAAATTCTGAAGTTAGTAGGACTTGTGATGGAGTGCAATCTGCATAGTATAATGACTTATATGCACTAGACCATACGGCTAATAAAAGTTCGTTACTTGGGAAGGGTAAAAATAATCTGAACTTAGTAGTACTTCTCTACTATCACGGAAAAGAAAAAAGGTATCAGTATCCACATATTTGACAAGTATATTCATTCAGTCAGATTACCTGAAGATGCAGATAGAAGCCCTAAAGAAAAAGCAATAGGAACATTACCATCACCATGTATAACCGGCTTAGTTTCACATTGAGAGTGTGTAAAATTTGAATAGACTTACAGGGATTATATGGCTATAATATTATTAATTTGAGTTTAGGTATTTTGACCAATAATTCAAACTCAACAAAGTTAATAGGTCAACTATCTCATCAGGTTTGACTAGTATCGGACATAGTGAGGAGTAGGAAATAACATCCCATGGACAGGGCTATAGGACTTGTCACGGTAGCTAGGTGCATCATGCTAGGGTGATTGACAACTTGGAGAAATTTACTTTTATGTGCAATAGAATTCCATCCCAAACAATGAGCCATTAAGTTGGTCTCTTTGATTGAAACTGGCTTAATTCATCAGGTCAAAATTCATCTTTGATTCTATGGCAGAGAAGTACCTGAGAGTAACACTCGATTGCAGTCTTAAAATCTTTATCACGGAAGGCAAAATCCCCTCGCTTCCTTGCTTCCAGCATATCCCTCATCTGCTGTGTCCACTCCTGAAATGATAACTGATACCAGGAAGAGAATATTATCGATCATCATATTCAACTGTACAAACTGAAACAGGCCTCACTATAAACAGAATATTTGAAATAGCAATCGAAGACAATCTCTTATGTCAAAATTGCAATGATACCTCATTAGTTACTTCATCATCTCTATAGTGTGCCATTACTAGAATCTGATGGATGGCAGTAAGGTCCATTCTGGAGCAGGCTTCCCCCATTGGTGAAAGAGGTTGCTGAGGAGCTGGAGGGGCCTCTTCATGCTTTTCAATACCCAACATAACATAAGATGGTTCCTGTGTATCAAAAAGCATTATGCCACGCCAGAACAAACTTCAAATGCAGAAATCAAGTTTCAACACATTTGTGGCATGATCAACAAAAAACAAAACAGCACTTTGCAATCCTCCATTAAATTGACGAGCAAAACACTAAACCTTTAGTGTTTAAGAGATAATTCCCATGTTAGAGATGACAATCCTAATCTAAACCTGTCAAGTCAACATGACCTCATTGAGACCTGACCCATTTACTAAAAGCCTTTGCACATTGATCTGGTGAACTGTGAACATCCAATCAAGTGTCATAGCAGGCCTCTAGGAAGCCTCTAGGAGGCAAATGAACTAATCATTGCCAAAGGCCCATACCAAAACAAAAATGTAAGCTTCAGTTTTTGAGGGGACTGCACCATCTCTTGGTCTTCATTCAGGTTCATCATACCAATGATTAGGTTGAAGTTTCTATACCTTTTGAGTTGCCAAAACATTATGCCAATTCACAAATTATTTTTCTTTTTGAAAAGGAAGAAAGCATCTATTAATCAACTAGCCAGAGGCTACAAAAGAGATGGGTAAAAACACCCAATCAAAACTACCCATATCCAGTCTAGTCTAACTCATGTAGCTTTGAATAGAAGCTGAAAGAAGACTGTACCTCTGATTTGGTTTGCAATGGACCAAGTGTTGCCACCAGCATCTTTGTGTTGGGTCGATCCCTAGGTTCGTATTGTAGGCACTGAGAAGCAAGGTCAACCAGTGTTGTTGCCTCTTCCATTGAGAAATTTCCCTCCAAGTGTGAATCCATTAAGCCTAAGATGTTTTTACCTCTTATCATGTCAAGAGCCTGCAAGAACTTCAATCTCATTAACTAATTAAAAGAAATCACAAATTTGTATGTGCACAAAAATGTTCAAGCGAATGCATATGATATCAGGGATCTATAAATATCACCAACTTCTCCTTACATCCAACAGTTTCATTTATATTTTCTCAAACCATTGTGTTGTTGAATTACATAGTTTTCCATAAATATTCCTTTTACTGAGTTCATAAAGTTTTCTGTACCATGTACTTGAATCACATCAAATAATTTTTTATAGTCTAGTTATATAAACGAATATTTAATATGTCAAGACAGATAACCTAATAGGTTATTTATTTTACAAATAAACCTGAACTTGGTTTAAATTTAGACCCTAAATGATTTTCAAGAACTTTCATCAGTACAATTTAGTTGGTAAAAGATAAAATTACCACCAGATTTATTGCTATGACAATCAACGACCAGGGCACAGAATCGTTGATATCAATGATATATCCTATTGCAACTGTACTAGCATATTGCAAAATATTAGACTTCATCTACAATAACCTTAGATGTTTAGAACAAATTCTTAGCAACACTGCATTAGGTTTTCCAAAATCTTTCTTAAACTTTTGACAATAGGAAATTCATCTTTAATATTCCTTGCGTATGTTAAGATAACTATTTCCCTATCACTAAATATCTCATCTATCCCATGGATCCACCAAATACACTATCCTGAATTTTCTGGCTATCTATATTCAGAGCCTCTCCATTGCTATAAAACCATATATGGCATGAGCCTCTACGATTTTTCTTGTATGAGCTTCTTAATGTGTCAGAGAAATATTAACATCACACAATTCTAGGAGCACTATCCATTTTATTTCACCTGAATTTACAGAATGTTAATAATTTTACTACCCTCTTGCAAATGTCAAGTTCTGATGCAACAAGGATATATCTACTAATCTTTGCATTCTAATGTGACAAGTTCTGAAGGTCCTACTGCCAATACTTAAAAGACAAAAAGTGAAAAGGAAAGAAATACTAACATGACTTGGAGGAATGCGCTTTCCACTGAGAAGATCCAAAAGGACAGTGCCAAAGCTAAATATGACACTCTCTGGAGTTACTCTCCCTGCAGAGATCAATAAGATTTCAGTTATTTTGCTTGTGGACTTGTTTCTCGTTCATTTTGACAGTATAAAATTGCATATGTAAAGCTAATTACATGATACATGAATCAAGTATCTAAAAGTTCATGAGCAGAACCAAATCCAAATTAATATATATGAATCGAGATATCACAACAAGAAAAGATATAAAAGCCCTAGGCAAACAGTGTTCACTAAAAATTTTTCATTAGATCCCCACCCTGAAAAGAGTAATTCCATAAGCACTGATTAACAGAAACAAAAGAGAACTAACAAATTTCACCAACCAACTTGAGGACATCATAGGATAAAAGAGACAGTTCTTTGGAATGAAATTTTTAACTTCGTGTATTTCCTAGTAATCATGCAATATTCAAGGTGGAGTAGAGTAGAAATCACAGTCCTACTAACAGAACATTAGTAAACGTACTAGAAGACAAGAATGAACTGATGCTGCTAAGGAAGAATCCAAAGCTGTCAAATGATCCAATCAACCATTAGAAAAATTTATCAAGATGACATGTTAAAGATATGGTCCTGATGACCATGATGGACTGGAAGAAGAAACACATATCCTGTGTAAAATATTAATGGCAAGTTAACTAACCTTAATACTTTTGCATTTCGTCTTCAGTTGGCAACAAAGGCAAACAAACTGTTATTATAGGGAAACAGAAGTACCAAACTCAAACTGAAGAGAATGGTTTGGAAACAGATATTAGGAAAGTAAGTTAAGGTTGACAGGTCAATAATATAGTTGAAGTAATTGTCACTTAAGTTCTTAGATATAAAAGAAGATATGTCTTTATGTGCAAATGTACATGTATATAAAAACATACAGATATAGACATGATTACTATATGCATGAGATAAATTCAAATATTTGTTATTATCGCATGATAAGATGGGTGCCACAAATGTCATTGCCATTCCAAAAACGGTGGTGTGAGACTCAAGTTGTAGTGGCATAGCCAATTGAAATTTCAGGTGTCTGGATTTTATACAAAGAGTCATAAATCAGAACCATGAGAGGAGAAAGGTTGCACAAAACCCCATTCGGTGTCTCTCATGGCATATTATCCTAAAAAGCATCATTCATCGGTAAATGGGACTAGATGCGAGGTGCTCCTTCGAAATTAATTAATTAATTTTCCTTTTCCTCTAAAGAAAAAGCATAAAAACCTGCATGGTTGTGTTAGCGCAAAACCAGAATCGAAAATGACATAGACATTTTTAGTTTTAAGAAGCCCAAAATAGTGGCTAAAACTTGTTCCATCTGGTAAGATTCTAGGTTTTTATGAATTGTATTTCAGAATTACTTTTAATTGTGTGCAAGATATATAAGACCTAATATGCAAGTTAATGAACCACTAATTTGGCAGGGACAAGGAATCAAGGACAAAAAGCAACACAACTGTAAACTTTAAGGAGAGAATTTAGATGGAAAGCATATGTCATAACATATACTAATGGTTGATAGGAAGGTGCTTGTAGATCCAATGATTTTTAGGAATCATAAGACTCAAGCATTGTTGTAAAAAGATACAGTATTTTGGTGAAGTGGTGTGTATTAAGAGATCATAAGTGTCCACAAACACTTCCTGTTTTCAATCTCATAAAACCTTTACAAACTCATATCACCTTGAGGAATTCAGGGATTTTTTCAAGTTTTGAGATGAATTATAAATTTGAGTGAAAAATATTGTGATACTTCAGTGGTCCATAATCAGAAAAAGAACATAAATAAATAAATAAATTCTATGCATGCACCAAGTGGCCTACTAATATTAAATTGGTTTAGGCATTTTGCACCCAGTTGCGAGCCCACTTAAATAAATGCTATCAGGTTTGTATGTATTGTTGGGTAGTTGTTAATGGTGCCAGAGCAAAGGCCATCTATAATAAAATAGGAAACACTATGGTGAGGTGTGAACTGGGGCTTACAGAAGTCAGTTATCTCTGTAGGTGACAATGTCGAAGAGAAAACCAAAGGACCTCATTAAGTCTCATAATTATTCTTTCAAGCAAATTTAGGGCCTTTGGCATATGGCTATTAGCTGCTATATGTTATAATTTTAATTACTGGTCAACTTTTGATGATACAGCTCATACATCAATATCCTGTTGCTTCTTAAGCGCCTCCACCCACCCCCTATTGCATTTATTTTCCTGATCGCTGATCATATGTATAGAACTAACTTCGGGATTGGGCACAGTATCAAAGATCTTTTAGAAACTTGAAGGGTCTAGAAGGGTCAATATATGCAGCCTCAGTTCCAAATATAGAGCAGTTGTTTCCGTAACTCGAAGTCTTGAACCTTGGTCTTCCTAGTCATACAGGAGCAACATTATCATAGTACCAACCTTACAATCTTATTGCTTCTTAGATGGTATTTTTTATGTTTAAGTTGGATGGCTTCTGATATGTTTTATGGTTAAATTTGATGGAAATACCACTGAAAATTAAAAGTTCTTACATCATCTGAACATTACAGTGGTGATGTAATGCATGAGAATTGTATCACAGAAATTACCAAGCTTTGAGGGTAATCCTCACAGTACAAAATCCATGTTTGGAACTTGTTAAAAATTGATTATTATTACCAAGCTTTATGGCGTCTATATAGCTCCTCCACATGAGATTCTTCAAACTCGACCATGATTTTCACAGTATGATAGAAGCAACACTAATGAATTTCAGTAAATTTTAGTTGATACTTGTAGGAATAGTTAATCTTTTTCCTGAGCAGTACTGATCCAATAGAAATCACAGGAACACATCCACATATACCCAATGCTGAAAAATGATACTCCCTGAGCTTGCTGTAGACAAGTTTTGATTGGTCTAGAGTCAAAAGTAAAAGAAGCACAAGCAAAATTATGCCTAGGAAGTGTCTAGTACATACACAAACCTATACTTCAGATAAGCACTAAATCTAACTCCCAAGTTTAGTCAGTAGTAGATATCTTCAATAAAAAATAAGAAAATACCATTTCTTAAATATTCTGGAGGTGTGTATGCCAGGTTTGTGCTATAACTTTTCCCATCCCGGCTGTTTTTCATAAGACCAAAACAAGAAAGCCGAGGATCACCATCCTGCATATAGATGAAAAACTTTGTAACTGCTTTTCAAGGGAATTGCAATGAGATAATTTTTTTTTACAAAGTCCAAAAGATGACATGCTTGTATTTGTCGATAACCAACCAAGAACTAGAGAAGATACTATATGTGCCCTAATTGATACAATTTAGAGAAATTAATGGTTTTGACTAAAGCAGCAAGGAAGTGTGCTAATTTTATAAGCTAGGAAGAACCAAATCGTCAACTAATTTTATAATTTGCCTACTTTACACACTTTTTTGGCTTATGATAATAGTAATTTAAATACAAAAACATCTCATGGGCAATGTAAATTTGGTACTTGTGTGCATATTAAGCAATAAATAGCAAATAAACATTATTTCATAAGATTACTGGAAAAGTCTATAATTGCTTGCCCTTTCCCTTTCTGTCCTTTTATTCAACACATACATGTCAAAAGATTCATTGTTTTCTGCCGCATAAGAGTTTGCATTGGAGAAAAAATATGAGCTATGGGCTCTTTGTGACAGCAGCATAATGAGACAACCTATAAAATTTGTCAGTAGCATTACATATCTCTAAATGTTTCTATAAGAGATTTGATCTCACTCATTCATGCATCTTAAAACATTAAGTAATAACTATGTTGTGTTATCTTCCTCAGAGAAATAAAAAATGTTCCTTTTCCTCGGAAACAGAGTCACTAGATCATACAATTTGGGTCAATTCTGCCCAAATTTCTGATTGTGAATTTGCACCTTTGACGACCTGGTTACACATGTATAAATGAATTTAATATTGCTTTATCCTAGACATGCAGAGATCACCATACATTAGAGTTGGTAGTTTTGAATGGTTTTCTGGAGCTCAGTAGCTTTTTCTGTCAGTGTATATTAAATATGGCACCAATTTTTTGTAAAACATACCGAAGCAATTAGCTAACCAGTACCAACATGACTCTGATTCTTTGCTGAAAGCTGACAGATTTAACATTTCATATCCAGAGTTTAACCTTGATAGAGAATCTAGTAAAAGAAAGCTTTTTGACAGATCTTGAAAGTTTTGTCACACTGAAAGATTAGTTCTTTAGTTATAGAAGTTTTATTCCATATTGACTCGACCCTGATCTCCATTGAGTAAAGGGAGCAACCTTACCACAAAGGGTTCGCTCTTGACTTTATCAATTAGAAAAACAATAACAAAGTTCACAACATAATCTAACAAAAACCAACATCTTATTTTCTGTGCATAAGTTTGCAAAATAAGAAGCATCATAGAATGAAGAATGCAATTAAGTTGCAAGAATTTTTCATAGGATGGAACATGCTCGTCTCTGCAACATCAACTTGGTTACAGTGTACAAATTTACAAAATAAGAAGGTCCATGGAGTGAACATGCCATACAGTTGAATGATTATTCATATAGAGTAACATGCTCGTGTCAGCAACATTTTACGTTATAAGAGAATCACAGCTGATGCCCAACCAAAAATACCCTTCAGACAGGTCAACCTACAATATCAGTATTCCAGTTACTAATGAAAAGGATGATTTGATAAGAAAGAGATGTGCGACCTCGTCAAAAAGGACTCTGTAGGCATTTAGGTCGTGATATAGTGGCCGTCCCTCACTGCTACAATACTCCAAGGCTTCAGCAATATAGAAAGCAACCCTCAAACGCATGGCCCATTCAATAGTTTGTTTTTCCCCTGTCCAGAAAACTATGATAAACAAACAAGATTCCATATCCCTGCATAATTATTTTATATTGAAGAAATATAATAAGGAACTGTAACGATTCGTAACATATGAGGATTGATTACATAAGATGCAAGATGTTGAAGAATTCAGTTATTTCTCTCATTCCAAGAAGCCTCCTCATTTGTCATTTATCAAATTTTTTTAATCAACTTTATCTAGTTAACAAGAAATAGCCAAATATTTCTTAGTTGCTGTTTACCATACAGAAAAAAACAAATGCATCAGATTTTGCTTGCATTTGAAATTAATCTTTTGCTATTTCTACTTCTTAAAAGCACAGAGATACCATGTCACTTTTCCAAATTGTCATGGGGATCAATTTACATAGATCTATTACTCTATCAACAAAAGTTGGTATTTCCAATTTTGACAAGCCACTCAACCTTTTCTACCATAATGCACAAAGTTCATACTTGGCAATCTTGTACTAGTTAACCAAATTCAGAAAAAGGGGGTTGCCAAATCAAAATTCAGCTACAGGCAGAAGGAAGCATGACAAACACACAACTCCAAAACCGAAGAATGACTTTGCAACTTCATGTAGCTGCTAATAGAAGGCGAGGTTCCCCAATGTGTAACAGCAATATCCAGTTCAAGAGGTACAATAACTAGCAGTGCTTCGCAATTCAGATCAGGGAGAAACATAGAACTGGGCATACATACAGTGGAAGAGATGCTTAGCAAGGGTGTCATTGGGCATATACTCGGCCACAAGAAGCCTCTCTTCGCCATCGCAACAGTATCCGATCAAATTCGCCAGCCTCCTGTGCCTCAATTTCCCCACTCCCGACGCCTCCTCCTGTAAATCCCAACAAAACAACATTTTTCTCCTTCCTGGTGATCCAGAAACAGCAAGGCATGGCGGAATTAGAACAAAAATTGAAGGGGGAAGAAGCTAACAGCGAACTGCTTGGGATCGGGCCATGCGGTTCTGGCGAACTTCTTGACGGCGATCCACCGGCGGCTCTGCAACCGGCCCTTGTAGACGACATTAGGGGCCTTGTCGCCGCTCTCCGAGACGGCGTTCTGCGGGTTGAACCCGTTGGTCGCCGCCTTGAGCTCCGCAAGCGAGAACTGCGCGAAGGCCGGCACCTCTCGCCCGCTGCCCTCGACCGCCGCCTGAAGCGACAAGGACGGACGGCGCTGCTGCTGCTGCAGGCTCTGGTGGCTCCGCTTCTCCACCGGGTGGTTCTCTGGCAGGAGGGAGGAATTGCAGCACCCCATCACCACCAGTGACGACGACGGCGACTACGAAAAGCTTCTCCTTTCTCGATGGAAACTTCTTCTCTCCTCTTTATACCCCTATAATATGCATCAGTTAAACCGTAAGAGAACGGTAAAAAAAAAGAGTCGCTTTACAGTGGTAACGTGACGAGGGAGAGTTCTACTGATCTACTCCTTCCTCTCTCTCTCTCTCTCTCTTTGCTTGCTTCTGCGTGCTTCCTTCTTTATTCCTCTCCTCTTGCTCTGATAGGAGTTTGGACTTGTACAAGTTATTATGCCTCTTCTCTCAGTCCATTCCTTTGAATGACCAAGCATCGACATAACAAAGAAAAACGTATTTGGAGTACCTGCAGCTACTGTTGCTTACCCCTTATCGGCATCATATGCAACTCTGGTGGTCACAGATGTTAATTACCAACAAGGAAAACTCAAACTCACAGATCATGAGCCCCTTGTTACGGGATCTGCAAATATTCTTTTTTTTTTGTGTTTCCGAAGTTTTTGGAAGAAAGTTTTCTACTTCCAAAAACCACAAATTCAAAAAAATTCTGTCAAATGTAGCATGCTTGATGTTGAAGTTTAGCTTGCTCAATAATTCCCTTGAAGAACTGTTTTTTCTTGTCAAGATCGAGTGGTTGAGTTGCCTACATCTCGGCATGACCCCAATGCATTGGATCGACACTTTTTTTAATCCTTAATCCCCCCGAATCATAGTTGAAGAAAAGAAAAGAAAAGTCTTCACGTCAAAATCAGGGCCTGGAATAACGAAGTACCAGTGCTTGTGCCATGTGAAAGAGAAAAAAGAACAACCCGACGATGTACAAATTGGCTCATCAGCTCTTACCCTCCGAGACAAGAACCTGTTCTTGATCTTGCTGAAGATAAGAAATGAAATGGGAAAAACTAGAAACCCAGCGGAGATTAAAGATGTCGCCAGACTAGTCCTCGCTCTATTGGGGTGCTTGCAGGGACTGGTAAACTTCCACGCTCTTGCTTCTAGTCTTCTAGGGAAGAGAAGGCTCAGAGACTGCCAGGTTTGAACCAAGTTTCCAGCCACCACTTGGCTCACTCCACCGTCAATGTTTTACTACTGGTCGAGCTGAGCTATGGCCTTTGAACAGTAACGGTTACTGGGGGCTGAAATAATATTGCGCAGCAAGAACTTTAGCTGCGGACGACGATGACGCAGCCATCACCGAATCATTCCTGTTTCTATTCTGACTCACCTGAAGAACCTCCTGTTAAGTGTCTCTCCCATGTGGGGCTGCTATTGTTCCAGCCTGCAGTCTCTGTGTGAGGTGCTGTCTATAAATGAAGCTTTGTGACAAGCTTCTGGTATTGAGGTGAGGTGAGGTGAGCTGAGAGTAGCGAATGGGTGCAGCCAGTCGATGCTTGATGTCCAACTTTGGCTTTACCATTCTTGCAGAAAAGAGAGCAGTGACGGGTTTGGCGGTGGGAGAGAAGAGAATAGGAGGTGGGATCCGTGAAACCCCCTCGCAGTGGCCAATCATTGGTGGCTTGCGTATGATCGTGTACAGGCTGTGGCAAGATGTGCCGTACGCGCCGCTGGGGCCGACACGCAAACAAAGCCGCTTTTGTGATCTGGGAAGCAGAGAACAGAGACGGTGGCGGGGGCAGGCGAAGGAGCGTTGCGTTGGTGGAGCTGAGACTGCTGCGGCTTGGGCAGTGCGGGTGTCGCCTGCAGCCGCTGTGCTCGCTGCAGACTGCGGGTGGCCGTGCGACAGCGCATCAGCGAGCGTACCCCATCGACGTTGATGTTGCGTTGCGCACGCTGACAGAGATGGGAGTGCTGTCCGCCCTCGTTCCATCCTATCGCCTATGTTCTTTGGTCACCGGCGTTATTAGGCTACCGGTTGGGCAGAGCAGATGCTACTTAACAAACAAGAATAAGAAGATTTAGCTACATGCAATGTTCATCATCCATATTATGTTTCATTTTCTGCGACATGCAATTTACATGTCATGGCAGGCATGCGGCACTTGACGTAGTCAAAATTAGCGTTGTAAATGGACCGGGCCTGGACCGAACCAAGATGTCTCTAATCCGAGCCTGGCCGAACCCAACATTGTTCATGAGAAGTGTGTATCTGATCTGATCAGATTAGATCAGTTTTTTAGATCCACAATGTGATTAATTGGTGCTTGCTCTCTTACAAATAAGGCCATGAGAAAGTATTTACTGTATTACTCTAATCTGAGATGTACAAAATTCTACAGTATTTACTGTATTATAATGGAGAAAAATATATTATAATTAGTTAATCAAGTAGCTGTAGATCAGAGAAATCTACGCGCCTCCTGTCTCCTCGATGTTTCCTGATCGGTGTTCAACACTGGACACTTGGTTCTTTAAAGGAGTTTAAACATAGCTGTACAGTGGCATTTATGACGTGGGAAAGTTTCCCTCTAGATTTGCCGCCGTCGATTCCGTCGCATCGACACCCATTTTTGTTTTGTATCTTTCTTTTTCTGATATTTCCGGATAGACTATTTCTTCCAGCTCAGCATAGAGTGCGGGGGACACGTGGCGCTTCCGATTGGGTACGTATGTTGACCTACGATGCACCTGCCACGTGAGTCGTGATTGTGATTTGGGTCGGGAAATGTGAAGCATTTCTCGCTGATGCCGCCGACCGTGGATGGGCGGAGGTGCATGAGCACCAGGTGGAATCTCCTCTATTACTTGTGATTTCCACGTGAAAGCTCCGTCCACAGCGCCAGCCTCGGGCGTTTTGAAGATGCTCGTCGGATCCACCCCCTACACCGACGTGTTTAAAGCTAGTTTGGAAGCATCAAATGCACAACCTCCCTCTCTTGTATAAATCCAACGAAGCCCATCGTCGTCATCACCATCGTCGAGGAAAGAGACATGAGGCCTGATATGGAGGAAATGAAGAGAAGGATGGCGGGGATCGGATTCCGCCGCTCCATCTCCTTCTCAGCCGTACCCCACCCCTTCAGCCAACCCTGCCACCGCTCCGCCCGAGGCGCTGCGGAGCTCTCCTTCAGAGCACGCTCCGTCAGCCTGCCCGCTCGCCTCCACCCCCTCGCCGACCACCTCCGCCCCGAACTCTGCGCCCTCCGCTCCTGGTGCCCGTCCCCTTCTCCCGCCTCGCTCTCAGACGGACTCGTGCGCGTCCAGCTCCTCCTCGCAGCCCTCCCCGACCTCCTCGGCCTTCCCCAGGCTCAGGACCCACTCCGACGACGCCGCCGCTACTCTCGGCTAGCTGACCGCCTCCTCGACGACCTGCTCCGCCTCGCCGATGCCCACGCCTCCTTCCGCTCCGCCGCTCTCGACCTGAAGCACCGCCTCTCTGCCACCCGCGCCGCCCTCCGCCGCCGAAACGACGGGCTTCGTCTCTCCTCCTGCCTCCGCTCGCAGCGCCGGGTTGAGAAAGAGCTATTCAAGCTGGCTTCCTTAATTCGCGTCGTCGGACGGTCGCCGCCGCTGTTCACGGGCTCTGCAGACGAAGAGGAGGCGGAGCTGGCCAAAGTAATGAAAGAGGTGATCACAGTAACGGCTGCAACCTCGGCAGCGGTCTTCAATGGAGTCGCAGCTCTATCGGCCTCCACGACGATGGCTACACCTGCTTTGCCGCCGACATGCACGTGGGTGGCTGCAGTGATGAGGTGGAGAGAGAGGGCGAGGTTGAAGCTGTTGAAGAAGGGAGGAGGGACAGAGAAGAGCAAGGAGGTGGAGGTGGACGAGGAGGACGAGGAGGAGGAGATGGGGGCGTTGGAAAGGTTGGTGGAATTGGAGGATTGCATGGCAGAGATGGAGAAGGGTAGCGAGCTGGTGTTTAGGACTCTCGTCAACACCCGTGTTTCCCTCCTCAACATTCTCACTCCCGGCTTCTAACTACTGTACTACTACTTCCATTTATAGCGTATATACATCATCGACACATTATGGTTCAAACGTGAAATAAGAGAGAATACAATTTTTTGTTCATTTATATTGTTGAGAGGTACATGAATGAGATACTATTACTCTCTTTATGTACATGCATGAACTTATTTTCTTTTCGTTTTGGCTCATTTATGTGTCTTCTCTGATTTCTTGGCAACCATTCCCTCCTGAAGTTAGCAAAGAGATCATATTGTTCATCACCCACTATCAGAAGCAGATGCAAATTAACTTGCGTTATGGCTCTGGTTGTTTTCTTCATGCACTCTTCATGTTTGCAGGGAGGTTGTATATATTATTCTTTATCATCAGAAACATATGATCTGTGGTTAGCAGAAACATATAATTAGCCTATCGAATCTTTTGAAACGAGGGAGCTCGAGCGTGCATCACTACCAGTCTTTTGCGTCACAGGTGAAGCAGCCTTCTTGAGCGATGTCAGTGATCTGAACCCGCAAGTCGTAAACCGACCCGGTCTTCCAGTCGACCGGCAGGACCTCCTCCTGAGACCAAACCCACTTCCCGTCGTAGCCGCCGGTGACCACCATTCTGAGCTGTAGCGGCCCCGGAGGCGCCCGGTTCGTGCTCCACACAGGTCCGTATTCCCGGCTCATGAATTGCCAATCCGACGATCCCACCTGTGGACCCAACGCGTAGCATTAGTACTCCGGTTCAATTGGTTCTTGTGAGCCTTTTTACTACCTGTGCCACGTCCACTGCTACTATATCAGTCTGACCTCCCTGATACAGGACCTTGATGGCCAGATAGTTCGGGCTTTGGCTTTTCTCTTCCACTCTAATGGATAAGTTCTTGTTGTGCTCACATGGAATCCTGATCACAGCAAACAAGAAGAAGTTTCCGATTCAGAAACAACAGTGGCTACCATGTTGCGAGAAACAATATATGCATGTCTGACCACAACTCTGACATCCAACATTCAACTCACTACCTCTTGTATTCCACATCTACGATGCCCAGTTTCTTCAGCTCTTTGGCCATCCCATATCGTGCCATGGCTGCATAAGCCGGCCTATTGAGAGCCAAATCGGTGTCGCTGATCTTGTTGAGGTCCGTAAGGATCACTTTGACACCTCCGCTGCTGCATATCTTCGTGTTCTTGCATCTTACCTGCTTAAAACGAGTGATTATATGATTGACAAGAGCAATAAGTTTTACGTGGAATTGCATGTGAATCTAACCTGGAAACATGCTCCACAGCCAATACCACCTCTGTGAAGAGAAGAGCCTGCAGCAGCAACATAGCCTCCGCTGAA